TATTCTCTTACTGAGCTCTCGTTTCTGCAACTGGGTTCTCTACCTTTTCCTTCATTCAGCCCTGTGAGCCAGAACACTCAGAATACTGAGCCAGAACATGGACCCAGCAGATTCATCCAGTTCACAGGATCTTCTAGGGGCAGTTGCCTTAGAAGCAATTGCCTTACTTTTGAGTTGCAGCCATCATCCTTTCTTTCTGACAGAGCCAAGATTGCTCACATAATCACCTGCTTCTCAGGAGAGCCCTGTCCTGGGCCACAGTCCTCTGGGAGCCTCATAGCCCCTTTTGTTCCATTTATGGCTCATTTGTTGAGGAATTCATACAAGTATTGAATACATATTCACACTCACATATTCATATTCACATATATTGGTGTCATATAAGAATTTATACATACTGGAAGGAGCTTCTGTCCATCAAGCAAGGGAATCGTAGCGTGCAGATTATGCCATTCAATTCCACACAATTGCAGCAACAAACGGTTGGGACAAAGAGGCCCTTATCGTATGCTTCCAGAACGGTCTCTCAGAGGCCACCCAGGATGAGCTTGCCACCAGAGACCCACCTGACAGTCTCAAGGTCCTCATAAATGTGGCCATCCGCCTGGACAACCGACTAAGAGAGAGAGAGAGAGAGAGAGAGAGAGAGAGAGAGAGTGTAGCTGTAAGCTTGTCAGCCCAACACTTGTGCGCCCTTTGGCCCAAGTTTTCCAAGAACCCCTGAACCTATGCAGCTTGGAAGTACCAGGATTTCCCCTGCTTAACGTGACCATTGCATGAGGGAGCGGTGCTGTCTTTACTGTGGCCTATCATGGCACATTCAAGCTGCCTGTCCTGAAATTTCGGTATAAGCCCCATCCTGTGCAGACAGGGAAGGTCTGTGGCAGGAGCTACCCTAAGTGCTCCCCTCCCCAATTCAGGATTATTTCTTCCAGTCACACTCTCCTGGTACTATCATGACCCCTCCTTGCAGGCCTGGGTGGATTCAGGTGTGGCTGGAAATTTAATGGACCTTTCCATGGATAAGAAGCTCTGTGTTCCCTGTGAAACCCTTTCCTTTCCACTGGCTGTTACTGCTCTGGATTGATGACCTTTGGACTGTGGAGAGATAACACATCAAACATTACAGAGGCCTCAATAAGATCACTGCCCAGAACCGTTTTCCATTATCTCACATTGCCACTGCTTTTGAATTTCTTCAAGGAGCCTAAATATTCACAAAACTCAACCTGCACAACACATACCAACTAGTGCACATAAGGCAAGGAGACAAATGGAAAACAGCATTTAACACCCCACAGGGCATTATGAATACCAACTTATACCTTTCGGGCTCACAAATGCCCCCGCTGTGTTTTAGGCATTTATCAATGACGTCCTTCAGGACATGCTCAACAAATTTGTGTTGTAGAAGATATTCTGATCTTCTCAGGCTCCTTGCACAAGAACATCCTGGATAATTAGTTGTTCATCAAACCTAAGAAGTGTGCATTTCATGTGTTCACAGTGCCTTTTGTGATCGGGTGGGAGCTATTCTCTCTCAGCAAACGGATGACAATAAGCTGCACCCTTGTGCTTTTCTGTAACAACGTCTAACACCTACTGAGAGAAACTATGATGTGGGAGACCGGGAACTGCTGGCCGTCAAGCTAGCACTTGAAGATTTGAGGCATTTGCTTGAGGGAGCTTAACACCTATTTTTAGTCCTCACTGATCACAAAAACTTGGAGTAATGCCAACAGGCTAAACGTTTTAATCCTCGTCATGCTTGGTGGTCTCTGTTTTGCAACCGGTTTCAGTTTACTCTGTCCTACCACCCCCGGGTGAGAATCCAAGAATTATTTCCATAATAAGTATAAATATATTTAAAAAGTATGTTAAATTATTCTTGTTTTTCACAAGGAGTCTAACTGGCACTCTATAATTTGTTATTCGTTAATGCTACATAATGTATAAGAAAGTATCTGATTGTGTGAAAGTGATGGATTGAGCTGAGTTACTGAAGATAAATCAAGTCAACAAGAGCTGCACATATCTTATAGTAGTGCAGGTTATTGAGTGAAGTGTGGAGCTGATGAGTTTTGATTTCTGTTTTCTGTAGTTTCCAGTCTGTCTCAGCACCTCCTGAATCTACAGATGATGTTCCCTTCAGTTCTCTCTCCTCTTTTGAAGGCGTGAGAGAATCTGTCCATCAGCTGAAAGTCAAACTGGAGGATTTCTGCAAAGAGGAGCTCAAGAAGATCTCTGACAGAGGTAAGTCCTCCTTACAAAGGGCCTTGTTTACAAAAATGTGCGTAGAATGATCCTAAATGTGAATGTTCAACAATTTAAGGAATGTTACTATAATTTATAAAACAACCACATGGACAATTGTTTTTCGTAATGTTCGTAAATGCATCACAGTTCAGCTAAAATTCAAGTCCATTGTGAACAAGTGCATTAACTTCACCTACAGAGCGGCCACAAAAATCCCTGGATGGTTCAGAGGTTTGGCACTCATCATCATGGACAAGCATATTTACATATATTGATTTGGATAAAATCCATGGAATTTAGGATCAAATCCAATATGTGTTTTATAAATGAGGCTCCTGGAGATTAATTTGCTCTCAGAAATGAGTCCAACATCGTCTAATATCATGAAGAACATCACATTAGAAATATGTAGAGATGGATGAATTTTATATTTTAATTTCTCTTCACACTGCTCATGTCTGTTTATTTCCACAGTCACATTAACCAACAGGAATCCCAAAACCAGGAATGACTTCCTACAATGTAAGTGAATAAGAAAACAAGCAGACAAACTCACTGATTGTGCTCATGTTTTTCCTGTTGAAGGTGAAAGAAAACATAATTTACTAGTTTAATAATTGATAATTTAAAAGATTATCTGGTCATCGGTACTGAGACACAGCTGATGCACTGAATATCAAGTTATGAATAGTTCAGATTCATTAAAATATCAAGAGAGATTCATAATTCCTGATTCTGATGTTTTCTCTCTGTCAGATTCCCGTCAGCTCACTCTGGATCTGAACACAGTGAATAAACGCCTCAGTCTGTCTAAGAAGAACAGAGTGATTAAATATACTAACTCAGAGCAGCCGTATCCTGATCATCTAGACAGATTTGATGTTTGGGAGCAGGTGTTGTGTAGAGAGAGTGTGAGTGGATGCTGTTACTGGGAGATTGACTGGAGTGGGAACAATGGTGTGTATATATCAGTGTCAAATAAGAGCATCAGCAGAAAGGGACGGGGTAATGAGTGTTTGTTTGGATATAATGATCAGTCCTGGAGTTTGATCTGCTCTCCCTCCAGTTACTCATTCAGACACAATAACATACAGACTGTTCTCCCTGCAGTGCCCATCAGTCGTAGAATAGGAGTGTGTGTGGATCACAGTGCAGGAACTCTGTCCTTCTACAGCGTCTCTGACACAATGAGCCTCATACACACAGTCCAGACCACATTCACTCAGCCACTCTATCCTGGGTTTGCTGTTGGTTATAATTCATCAGTGAAACTGTTGATGGATCAGAATAGACTGTAGAGAGATTTTGCCCTTAATACTTTGAGCTGCTTGATAAATCAGTAACTGTGAGATGAGTTTCTTATTTTCTCTTTGTCACATTATTATTATTATTATTATTATTAAGCGTACAGCTGAACTTCTGTCACTGAAATAATATCAGAACACATTTGTGTAATAAATCTTAGACAATAAGATGTGTGTGTCTCTCTCTCTCTGTGTGTGTGTGTTTGTCCCTTTTATGTTTCACAAGTTTTTTATTATAATCCCCCCCTCCTTTTTTTTTCTTTGTTATATTTACATGTGTTTTAACAGTCAGATGAATGTACTCTGTGTTGTTACAGCCTTTTCCCAAAATTGATTTATATATATATATATATATATATATATATATATATATATATATATATATATAGAGAGAGAGAGAGAGAGAGAGAGAGAGAGAGAGAGAGAGAGAGAGAGAGATGGATGAATATAAATATGTATATAAATATAAAGTTACAAATACATGGTTTGGGAATATTCCCAGAACGTTTTGGGAACCAAAATTTGTTAGTTGTGAACTAACAACAACAACAAAATAAAATAATATAATATATATCTTAGGGTTTATACATTTCGCTTGATAAAAAAAAAAATCGTTTTACTTTTAGCACCTTTACTTTCACTTGTATTGTTTTCCCGCGTTGAGACCCATTGAACATTTCCTTATCCGTCTTTTTCCATAATTAAAGTCTCAGCGCGCGCTCTCGTGCAGGAGTCTCTCATCGCGGACGATGGAGCCGTGACTCTTATTTTGAAATACATTTTTTACATGTCTCTCAGCTCAGTGTTTGTCTGGACTCCTGTAACACTGCGAAACACGGGTAGTTTATATTTTCATTCACATCAATGTTTTGGTCTCTCGACAGGTGGTGGGTTCATACTAGTCTTTTGTATGTATTGATGCTCTTTGCTGCAAAGCAGAATAGCAGGGAAAGCCTGTGACGTGCAAGTATTTCAAGTATTAACGTTACTCATGGTAGGAGATCTGCGAGTGTAAATAAACTATGATTACACTAAGTTATGGTTATGAATATTACATTACTTCATTCAAAATATATGCGCTTTTTAAACAGCGTTGATTCGAGATGATTGAATTCTGTAATGGCATAAACGATAAAACTGTTTGCATATGAAAAGAAGTTAACGTGTATGTATAAAAATATAAAACCAAGTTGCATTTGAATGCTTCTATGTCTTTTATCAGAACTGACTTGACTTTTTGAGTGTAGTTCATCACATTAATAAGTATGTAAATGATCCACCAATATATGTCAAACAGACATTTTTACGATACCCCTCAAATAATAAATATAAATAACATATCTATTATTATTATTATTTAAAGCCAAATTAACAGGGTTTAAAAAACAACAAAAAACATTTTAATGTGAAACCAATTAACTTTCTCATTGAATCCTCAGGTAATCTTCACGATGTCAAAGCCAGGAGAGGAGAAGGTCTCTGAAATATCTGAAATATCTCCCGCCTTATTCCTGGATACCAGTGGACATTCAATGCGCTTCTATGTGAGACCCGGTCCAACTAAAACGCAGCTTTACCCTCTGATATCTAATGGCGGAGGCATTCTGTGTCGCAATCAAGAGCCCGGAGCCATTTTGCTGGTTGATCCGGGTGACGTGACCAGTGCGATGGCGAGCACTGGGCAGACGTACATCTCTACGAAATTCATCCGAGATTGTGCAGAGCAGAACCAGCAGTTGGACCAGGACGACTATGTGATCAGCGTGGGACCGTCTGTCCAGACGAGGATGGCTGCCCGTCACCATGGCACCGGGCGGCTGGGTTATTCGGCTGAAGACGACGCCGCTATTGTGAAGTTCATGGAAAAGCGGCAGCATGAAGCCAAAGGAAACCTGGTTTGGAAAGAAATGGAGAAGCGGCATGTGACCGACCACAGCTGGCAGTCCATGAAGGATCGGTTTCTAAGGCTCCTTCAGCACAAGCCCATGGAGAAAAGCCCCTTTAAAAGAAAAGCTCTTCTTTTTACTCAAAGCCCCTTATCGAAGAAGAAAGGGACTCAAACCTCAGAACCAGAGGCTGATACTGATACCTCACGAAAGTCACCTCGAAAGTCCGACGCTGTGTCGGATTCATCTGAAACGCAAATCTCCACAGAGTGTCCAACTGTTAGGACCATCCCTCCTCCTCCTCCTGAGAGAGCCAGTTCTCCCCCAGAGGCGGCCAGCGAGTCTCCACATGACCGTCAGGACGAGTCTTGTGTCCCGGTCCAAGAGCAAGAAACTCCAGGGCCTGAAATGTCCAAAAGTCCTAGATTAGACGAAGATCGTGATGGACAAGACATTCCAGATGGTAGCATGTTCATTACATGGTTTTATTTATTTACCGTGTTGTTCCTCAACAAGCTTTGTCCATAAACCTTCTTCATTTCACTTTACTTTAGGATCAAGTGAACAACCATCTCTCAACAAAACAAAACAAACAACCTGTAAAACCTCCACAGCTGATTCTAAGAAACTTGGGATTCTTGCAAAAGCCGCAAGAGAATTTGAGGACTCGGATGTGGTAAGATTGAACAATATAAACCCTGACTAGATAAAGCTGAAGGATCAGTGGCAGGAAGCTCCTTCATTGTGCAAATCTATTATTTAAAAATTATATTAAAATTGGATTCGCCTATAATAAATGATTTTAATTTAGGTGGTTTGACATAGGATTTTATTATTATATCTTATATACAGTACTGGGCAAAAGTGATGTCCGGAGGGGATTTTTGTTTTTAATGATCACACATGTTTGATTAAATCATAAAAATATGAGGAAAATATGCGTTTAAATATGAGGGATAAACAAAATGCTAAACTTGGTTATGGTATTTATCTTACAAAATTATTTGGCAAAAACTGCAAGCTACAGGTTTTACGATAGAAATAAAAAAAATGCATAAAAAAACAAAAAGCTTACAGGAAAAAAACATACATTGACATAATCAGTTATTATTATTTTGTTTTTGCATACACAATTTCTTTGTATGACAGCTTGGGCAAAAATTATATCCGCAGAATTTGTTATGTTTCATTCAAATTAAAAAACTTGATCGTATCATTTATTTATTTCATTTATTTATCGTTGTCATAAATGAAAAAACTTGATCATATCATTTGTTTATTTATTTATTTCATTTATTTATCGTTATCATAAATTAAAAAAACTTGATCATATCATTTATTTATTTATTTTATTTCATTTATTTAACGTTATCATAAATTAAAAAACTTGATCATATCATTTATTTATTTCATTTATTTATCATTTTCATAAATAAAACAATTGACTTTAAGCGACTACGCAATGTGCTTACAAAATCTCTACACGTTCTTAATATAATATTGGAATAAATGTTGAAAATGTCAAAAGTTCCCAGACCAGAAATCACTTTTGGAGACTACTTAGTGCTGTCAAATGGATTCCATCAGAGAAGTTTGTGTTTATATAATATATGTGTGTGTGTATGTGTATTTACTGTATATACACACATATCTATCTATCTATCTAAAAAGCATTTATATTATGAATAAATGCTTTCTTTTTTTTTTTTTACAATATCAGAAATATAAAAAAGAGAGAAAAAAATCACCAAAGTAATGTATTTTGACCAACAAAGTCATGTGGTACAACCTCCCTCAACTCCTCAAAAAGTAAATGATCCCTCAAGATATTTATGAAATAATTCCTATTTGTAAAGAATTCGATTTTTAAAACTATTTTTAACTAAAAAAAGATTTTTTAAACTCACATGTATTTAAATGATAAGAAAATATTACTCTTTTTATCTTGATGTATGCACCACATGACATGAAACAGAATCTTTTCTTGAAAATAGTATGAAAGTGTTTAAAAACCACATAGAAATTGTTGAAACCAATTCAAGTTGGTTTCTAAGATCTTTACACGTTTTAAAGAGGTTTCCATTACTTTATTATCGACTCGTTTGTTTTTTACTTCTCCACAATTCATTTGTTAAAGGATAGTTTTCCAGCGTTTCAGCTAAGAAAACCTCAGTGGATAAATGTGTAATGACTTGAATGTATTTGCACAGATGGATGAAAGTGAAGAAGGGGAAGACCCATGTGAAGCCCCGATCGTCCAGCCCTCAGACGCACATGAAGGTTCAGCGTCGCCTGCAACATTTGCCAGGGAACCAGAGAGCCAAGCTGAGCACCACGAGGAAGCCCGGCAGGATCCAGCAGCAGCTGAGGAAGAGGAGCGTCCCGGGCCCAGTTCCACAGCGTTCAACGCCCACGCATTCATGTTCGACTCCGAGTCACGGGAACCAAACCACAGCCAGGCCGGAGGAACGCCAGAGGAAACCCTCTCCCGGCTCCTGGTGGACGTCAAGGCGCAGGTCAAGAGCTTGATGAGAGAGAGTAAGAAAGACCTGGTTGAGGTGACCAAGGCGCTGTTGAAAGCCAACGGTGACTTTGCACGTGCTCGGGTGTATCTGATCGACGGGTACGAGCAGGAGATTCACGGCCCGCTCTGGAATCATCTGGATGACGAGGTCCTCCTGTTGGCTGATTCGTATGAACTTGAGCAGCTTCAGTCGAAGTTCGGAGAGGAGGAAGTGAGCAGGAGAAGAGCCTTCCTCACGGCTGGCAAAAACTGAGAGGATTTGCTGTGGCTTGGTTTCACCCAGTTACAATATCACTCAGTTTGGTACAAGTTCAGTTTTATGTTGAAAAGTTCATTTTTGCTAATAATTACTTTGTTATATATATAAATTAAAGTATTTTCCTAACTAATTGTGTATGATTGTGTTAAACTCAATATTACCCAACAAGTTTAAAACACATTTACATACATATTTATACTTTTACGTCTGTGGATCTTATATTAATCTAATTGTACTCTAAACAATTCTAAACCTAAAATCTAATAGCTTTTTTGGATTATTGAAAAGATGTCGCAGCCTATTTGGGGCAAAAGTGTCGTCGCTTGGAGACGATTTAAGGGCCCGCTGGCTTTCGATGGGCCCCGCGATTTGGACAGAGGGTAAAACCAAATTCAATTGTATGTTTTGCACGAGGGCGATACATTTCCCAGTGCAGGTTTCGTAGTGGGTTCAAGTTGGCCACATGAAGTTGTTGGGTTGAAAGTGACTTCTGTGTGAGCGGTGCTATTCATCATACTTTCTGTTGATAATAGACATATTTACATAATGTGACTGCACCTTTATTACAGCTAAAACACTTTAATATAAAAAGTGGGCGGTTATCAGCTTGTATACTTGTCAGATGCGCTACTCCCTAAAGTCATAATTCCATTAAAAAATGTAATTCTTGAAGTGTAAATTGATCAAAACACTGCGCGAGCGGCATGATTTGGTCACGTGACATCTGTTACTTTTCTCAGCGCTGCTCACGATGGCTCAATCACAGTCCTTTGTGATTATTGGGAAGCGATTTCATATTTAATCAGTGGCAGAGTGGAACAAATTTTCACGTGTAGCCTATGTCAGATACAGACGAATAGTAGATTTAACCCGACGTTTTTTTAAAGCACACAAATGTTTCCAGATAAGGCAAATACTTTTAAGGATTCGGCTTTTTTTTTTTAAAGCGCTCTAGCGTCCCCTGCAGGAATAAAACGGGGGTAAAAAGTTATTAGTCAACAACATTTGCCGCCCAGTGGTCTTTTTATGGATTTGATGATTCGCTTTCATTCATGTCTACGTGTTTTGTCCTAAAACGCGCTCCATAGCAGTGAATCGTATGTGTTAAAGGAATTGGGCGGCACATTTACGTGCTAATAATTGCCAACCTAAAGACACTCAGTTTAATTCCTGCAGGGGGCTCTACATGGCTCACAATGCCCACTCCCACACTCTGGATTTTGTGTTATAGGAGGATTTTGTTTACTAAATTGTATAGTTTATGATTTTTAAGAGCGACACTTGACGTCTAAATACAAATCGACCAACGCAATCGCTTAAATTTAGCATGATAATGAAAACATTTATAAACGTCTCTGATTTGTCCATCCAGAACAGCACTGAGTAAAGTTACAAAAAGCGCGTGTCATCGAACTACTTTTAACCGCAGCCCGGAAAATAATTCACATATAAATAACGACATTTTGAAACATTAATAGACAATGAATTGAAAACATGACTAGAAAACATAAAATAAGAAAACTATTATTTAAACCCTTTCTTATCTGACCAATGAGAGACAAGGTTTGGGCCACAAGCCCCGCCCACTTTAGTAACAATGTTTTCTGAGTGCCATCCCTCTGCTTATTGTATTTCTACGGTTAAAGGCAGCGACTGTAGACACATTTAAAGCGGAGAGTCTAATAACAAAATCTGCTGATCATTAATAAACACAACACACCAAGTCAGTGAGTACTGCAGGAGAAATTAAAGAAACCATAAGCGGTAATGTCGCTTCATTTGTGTATCATATTTTACGTATTATCATAGCAGCTCTGGCTGTCATATGTGTTCGACACGGAGGCTGAAACACATTAAATATTGTTTTTGTTGGGCATGTTAGACCCCCGACAGTCCTTAAATCATATTTATATTGTTTATAAACATATACATTATGTTGTTCATGCCATAAAGCCGTTATGTTAGCAAAATAGTGGCTAAAGAGAGAGAGTGTGTGTTTACATTGTGCAAATGTTTGTGTGTGTTTGCTAAAACAACAGCATGTAAACATTGAACCTACAGGATATTTCGGATGTTTAAATGTAGTTTAAGCCTGTTGTCAAAATAATTTCTAGTTTACACTGCATTGTTCTGCATGTATCTGTGTTGTTATTACTTTACAAAAAGATAAACATGAACACGGATTCTGCTAAAATATAAACAATCATCTAACAAAAATTAAGGCCTACCATACATATTTGTTTGACTACGGTGTTTTGATTTGGACGTGTCATGTAAATATCGTGTAGCATAAGCATGTATAAGCATGTAGCACCTTATCTGATAAGTCACTGTATCATGGTATATTAAATAATATGAAATGAGGTTTGTTTTTGCATGCAGTAATTGGTCTGTGTTTGTTTTTCAGATCAGTGATCTGTCTAGAGGCAGAATGAGCTCAAAGGGTGGCACTGCCCTGTCCCGACGCAACTATCGCCTGGCATCCGACACAGACAAACCCAAAGTCACAGGTATTTCCCTCTAAAAAAAACATTTTACAGCAGGTAACCCCCTTGTAAATACATTAAACAAGAAGACGATGTGTTAATTATGTGTATTTTATCAGGTATTGTCAATGAGAAGTTACTGAGCGACTACCTGCACCATGTGTTTCCTGCCTCCAGGAAGCAGGGACCAGCATCGGCCGTGTACAGGTTAGTTCGTTGACAAAGGGTTTTGGGGCTTTTGCCTTGAACTAAATAGAATTTTTATTGAATTAATAAAAAATCGTGTATATACATAAGTATTCAGTAACGTAATCCAGGCACCACAATATGAAAGTAATGTAATCTGATTACTTTTGGATTCCTTCAAGGTCACATATGCAAATAAAGAAAGTCAAGTAAAAAGCAATATTTCGGTGAATGATTGAAGGCGGCTCACGTGATTATGACTTGCAACAGAACCGGCTCTCAATAGAGATGCGCGGATCAGTTCTAACGTTCTAACGTCTAATTTTCAGTGTAACGCGTGATGATATGGTAACATATTACACTAAAGTAGGCTGCTTTTAAATGAACATTTAAAGTAAAAGTTCTTCTTTCGTAAAATTGCATTTCTTTAATAACCTAAACTCAGGCTTTACTCCCTTCCAACATAAATTGTCACTGTTTCCATCACTGCAACTTCCCAAATTAAACACGTTCAGCCCAAGCAAAGGCTGGATATAGGCTTCATGAGTTTATTGTCATATAGCACTTCAAAGCCGTTACATATTACATACCCATCGCTTGATTCATCCTGGTAACTATTTTAATAAAACACTCCCAATACGGTACTTTTCTTTCCTGAAAAGTAGCTAGGCTTGCTGCGGTAGTCGGTTACAATGCAGTACATCAGATTTCACTTATCACATAAAGATATTAAGGAGAGATGACTGACAGGACAGTGACGCAGTGCACAACAGATCCCGAGGGTACCACCGCTCCATACACACAGAGTACGCACCATCGCAAATTGGAAAGTAAAAGTAAAAAGCGGGAATTCAAAAAGAGATTTCAATACCCCGCAATACCCAACTATATAATTGCGATAGAACGCAAGACCATCTCCTATCTCATATTTCTGTCCAACACCATGTCCCTTTAGGGGCTCCGTAGAATGTCATTTCCTTTCCGAACGTAGTATTTAGCTTCGGGTACATCCCTAATATATATAATGAATGTTTACATGAGTGAATGTGTTGATTACTTTGTTTATCTTCCATGATGGCAGATTGCGCATGTTACAAAGAATTGTAGGGGGGCTTTTTCCCATTGACAGTGATTTATTTATTATTTGATCATATTTAGAATTTTATAGCCAATTATTTTTTCATCCGCATGTTTTGAACCATTATTTTTGTAGGCCGAGGGACTAGAGGTCTGTGCAGGATGGATTTTTCAATCCTGCTCCCGCAAGATTATGAACCGCTCCCGATTTTAGCCCGCTCACTCCCGAAATGTTCACGCTTTGTCCCGTTTCTGCCCGCAAAAGCCTGTAGGAAGAGGTCTACACTATTTTTCACTCCCGATCTGGGTAGATTCTGACTTGTTCTGATGTCTATAGCCATTTTTTTCCAATTTCCACACATACAACGTTTGAGATCTCCAGTTACAGACTTCTGCGTGCTGTAATTATTAGATAATTATATTTTGCGGGAGTCATTTGCCATGAGTAATTTCTTTCTCCCGCTTCCCTCGTTCATATCAATATCTTCCATCCCGCATCCACACTCAACAATTCAAAACTTGTCCCGCGCCGCACTCTGCAGAACTCTAGGAGTGACTTTCTTATGAGAGCGTCTGATTGGACAAACATCTGTGTAGTGCAGGATGAGTCATCAGTTTATTTGATCTGTTTACATTTTTTTTTTTTTTGGCTAAACATTACAAATCATGAAGAGATAAAGTCTGATGCATTAGTGGATGTTGCTGGTGTGTTGTGCCGTTGGCTCTGTCCTGTGCTCACCTCCAGCCGGTGTCTGGTTACTGGTGCTGATCTATACATAGAGCATGATGGGACATGAGAGACAGCTGACATTCGCAGAGGGCTGAAGCCGGCCTTTGAAAAGGGTGGATGTGTTTACATATGATCTCTAATTATGTCAGGCACCATGATGGGAATCTGTCACCACTGTGTAAAGTCATGTGATAGTAGACTTGACTTTATCCACAGATATTTAGCTTAGATGCAATTTGAGATGTTTTGGTCTGTGTGATTCCGCCCACTGCCAATTTACCCAATATTGTTTTGACACCATGGGTTGCCTGTTGGTGGAAAACACAACGTATCGCAGCCAGTCAGAGATCGCAGATTCTACCCGACCTAAAGATCTTCAGCATCCATCTAAGGGTGCTTTCACACTGGCAGTTTAGTTCGAAACAGGTCCCGGTTCGCATGAACAATTGGTAATGTGAAAGCTGTCATGCCTCCCTTCAGCGCACTGGGGTACTGAACCCGAGTCTTGTCCTTAATCGGCAAACCCGCATGAGCG